GACACGCGGTATGTGTCCTTCGGTAATATAACGTCATAACTGTGTGGTTTCGATTATACGTTATGGAGTACGGGGAACAAGAAAACAAAGACGAATTTGAATAATTGCTGATGAAGTCGGGCTTCTATTTTTCCGGGTAGTTTTGATCTATTTATAGGCATTGGTATGGCGAATGTGAGTAACATTGGTAGAGTTGTACCACTCAACCAGTAGAGGGCGCAATTCAACTGACAATCACGCAGCGCAATTCACTATGTTGCTGATATGGTTGATGGGGAATTTATCTTCGTTGTTGTCCATGATTTGGCATATAAGAGGAGAGTAAAATCTCTGTGCACTATTACATTAAGATCTTTGTAACATTACATAGCGAGCCAAACCATAATCCGTAAGTCATAGTGCGAAGCCTGCGATTTTGTTGTAACGGGTCACAGAAGACTCGCTATCCATAGCTATCGACTCGACGATTCACCTAAGGTACTAGGAATGTCTGCAAAATTAGATTGATCCAAAAAAAGCTTGGTAAACAATGTGACTGTCGGTGCAGCACCACTGATTAAAACTGCAGTCCAACGTTAAAGGATAATTTAATTGTTCATAATCTAGTAAATATTATTCACTGAAACAATACAATATGAAAATTCCAAACCTAATTAATAAAAATTACAATTTTATGCAAATATAAATATAAGGCGAATAACAGTGAATACAAAAAAAACATCAGGACGATCTTGTCATATTCAGAACATTACATTAAATGACAGTTGCCATAGATACCACGCGTACACATTGTTGTACTTAGCTGTGCAGTCCGATTTAGAAAGTGTGTAGAGCCACATTGTCATTGTATGCAAATTAGTTGTCAGTACTTTTATGTCATGTTGTTAAAACATCTAGTTCGAATGGTACGGCATATATATGTGCTTCCATGAATGAATGAATGAATACTCCGCGTAATATGTGACAACTGGTTATAAATAAAATGTACCATTCACGTTGTGTTGACGATTTCGAAACGGAATTTTTGTTGGCCTGCACAGTTCCCACTTGGCAGGATTGTCTTCGGTATGTGGCCTAGTACTGAACAAAAACTACAGTCGGTCGAACTGTGTGTAGATTATCACTTCGTCCGGTTACAATGCGTTTTTGACGCAGGTAACACAGTCGATTCCATGTGTCTGTTCCTTCGACATACAGCACGGAGTAACCGCCTCAAGCATGGGTCAGTCCATCCAAAATACTGAAATTATTGTTTTAACTTCTAAAGTCTTATCAGTTCACAGTTCTTGCCCCAGAGATACACCATAAATTCACCATAAACCTATCTATTATACTGTGAGCATATAGCTCGCATCAGTTCACGATGGTCGTGCTTCATAGCTGTGTTTCTTTAGTTTAGTGTAGTGAAATGGGGAAACAAATTAGTAGATTGAATTGATGTAATTAGTTGGATTTTTAGCCCCCAAGTACCAGATCTCTGACTTGGAAGAAAATCTTCTACTGTGCAATTTCGTCCGTGATGCAGCTATAAGAAAACATCTTTAGTATTGCCAGAGAGGGCGTACTCGAATATGCATCAAAGGTGTAGTGATGAGACGTATGGCCGCATAAACGAACCTTGGCTATCGAAGATAGATTTGTTTTGAAATGTTTTTAACTTCTCCGAACATTTTCAAAATGAAAGAGAATGTAGCAAATTTTCAGCAATTTATTCCGCAAAACCCAAACAATGCTGTGATGAGCACACTTACTAAACTGACCATAAATGTTATAATGGAAGTCGTCCTCCCAAAATAGCTCGACACTGAAAGACACAACATAATGAAATTATTTAGTTCACTTGCATGTTTTATGTCTGTAAACCGTAAATTTCTTTTAAATGGACTTTCTGAAACTGTTGTATGTAGGTGTAAATTTGTTTTATAAAAAATATTTATAAATTTCAAATGGCGATGAAAACAACTTGACCAATCACAAGTTTTAGTGGTTGAATAACGCCCGTATATATAGAACTCCACTGCGATCAATTAACCTTTAACCTCTCGCCGCTTGACACTGGCTCGCTTTCGCAAGTCATTGTTCTCTGCAAAGCGATAATGGTATAACTTACAATTTTTTTAATTTAATTCAGCGAACTAATCATTGTAAATTCAAAGTGATGGGATATATATTTTTTATATCTATCTATTTTTTCTGTCTAGAATATATGAAGTTGGCATGAAATAAATAGTCAACTAAATAAACCAGTCTATTCGTTTTGTATA